GGCGTTTCCTGCAGCTATTTAGTGGCCAAATTTGCCTTCAAATTTTTTGGAGTTGTAAATATATGGAAACCAAATTTCACGCATTATCTACGAGTATGTCTAAAAAAGCATTACCTGAGCCATTGGCAGAATTTCTAATTTGGAAATGACGGCATCAAAAGAGATGCTCGCCGATAGGCAGCAGTACTTAGAAACATAAATGAAGTAGAGGATCTAGGGAAAGCTGCCGCTAGAACACAGTTCACCGTAGGTTTCAAAACTTGAGCAGCGGCGGATTCGATCTTCGAGGTGAGAAATGTCGCGAGCGTAATTCTGCGGTCGATTACTCGAAACTAAAGCAGTTGAAGGTAGGAAAAATACACACGCTGTGAAGAACCTAGCAAAACCAAGGTTGTAGCTGGTATCTGGAGACGATGAAGGTGCAAGAGGACCACGAACAGCAACTTGGGAATCGTTCCCTGTAAAACGCTCTTCAAGCAATTTTTTTGCCCACAAGGCCTGATTTTCCATAATGATTTGCATCGCTACCTTTTCATAATATCGACATTACAATGAGATCTCGATCGTCCAATGATCACACATCTTGCACTGACAGCTTTTCATCACCCTCTAAACCGAAAAAATCCTACGGTCAAGCGATTGTGCGGTGATCTGCTGCAGGCTTGACTCACCAAAGCTCCTTACATTTGACAAAATTGAGATCCGGTGGAACACACCTAGGCAGAGAGTGCATTTTGCCGATACATATGACACCTTGAAATTTCAACGACTAACGCCCGCTCCCAGTCAACAAAGAGCACCCTCGCTTCATGAGAAAGCGCGCTAACAATTCGCACAGCACAATTGTATTAAATAAGAGAAGCTGTAACGCAGAAACCAGGACTTCATCATTTTCTCGGCAGTGGTCGAAGGGTCCTTCTGCCCAAGTACGACTAGCATTTCTGTTATTTCAGGAAACCATGAAGCACCTTCCTCACTGAAGGACTCTTGAATATATTCAAGCCGGTCCACTTACTTCATCACCCCTCATGTCTTGCTTGCGCTGAAGAACCCTAACGTCCTGCTCCACCTAAAGAAGGCTACACTGTTTAATGGCGATGATGCACGATTTCAGTAGTTTCTTTTAATTAGTTAAGCTTATTAAGAGCTGAGAAATTGCCTCGAAAATGAAGGTCGTAAACTGACAGTAATTTTCGAACAATCCATTGGATGGCTGCTTTCAAATATGCGTCAGAAATAACAACGAAAAAGACTTTCAAAGCAGAGATAAACAGGCGAAAAATGTCGCGTATTCTTCGCAGAAAATATGGCATGAGGGGCGCTACTATAGCTGAGGTGAGGAAGGGGGGTTGACGGCGCCCATTCTTTGACTGTTCCTTCTCCGATCACCACGGAACTCGCACATCCGACTTCTGCAACGCGCGTCTAGTGGTTCCTCTCTCCCCTTTCGTCGAATTGGCTCCCATTTCCCTGAAGGATTTTTAGTCTCGCACTAATGGTGAATGCCCAGCCGAGAGGGCGCAGAGAGCAGAAAATAGGTGACGAAAAGACCGAGGTTATAGCCATTATGAATTGCTATCGAAGATGCAATCGTAACATTTTTCCTAACCTAAATTATATATTATATGTATTGAAAGTTGAAGCAGACACCCGCTAAAAGCCCACCAGCTGCGAAAACTGAACTGTTGTGGCTGTTTGAGCCGCATTGTTCGAGTTACATTCTTCTATGCCGTCGCACGAATTGGTTGGATTATGACAAAGCAGGAAAGGAGGATTAGTTTAAGACTTAAGGAAATGGGTTGCGGGCTTTTTATCGACGCATTCCTAGCAACAGAATTGGGTGTTGATGAGGAAAAGCTGTCGTGTCGAAACGAGAAATGGTCGCCAGAGTTGACATGCCCCACTTCGACTCTTCCGAACAAGTGAGGCCATTAATCAAACCGTAAGGCGTGTCGGCCATTTGCACATTCAAGCCGCCATTTCAAACATGCAAGGTGGTGGACCTTCCTTTCCTCACCAACCTTCACCCCCTTTTTTCCTGGTCTACGGAACTTTACAGGGCCGAGTTGTGGGTTTAACAAAGAAACTCCGCCCACATTGGTGCATGCCCCGCCCACCAATAGCCGTTGCCCTCCATATAACATATAAGGCTTATATGTGTGATACATAAGAGACTCTACTACTAAGTTTCCAATGAGTGGTCGACTGAAAATCGCTTTCCTCTACATCTAGTCAAACTGATGCCGGTACGTTTGATATAGTACATCTCCGAATCAATTACTATACAACGAACAGAATCAGGACCAGGGTCGGTCCTACCGTTGGCTAACACACTTTCCAAAAATGTTTCATACGCCCCTCTCTCTAACAATTTTACACCCAAAAAATTACCGTCGGCGCGGCGCGGGAGGTATATACGCAGCTTAAAACGGACTAATTTCTCTCAGGCGCGTACTCTCAACCTCATAACCTGTAATTTTTCGCGCCTAAATCGGAAAGACATACGACCTCCCACCACAAACTTCAACAAACTACGACCCTCCCCCCCCCTTTGTCCCTTGTAGCGCCGTGGGGTTGACCCGGATCAAGACCGGCTAAGCATAAATTTCTGGGTATGGCCTATCAAAAGCACATTATTGAATGTGAACCCGATCCGTAGATTCTTCGGTCGCCAGGAATACCGACTGTCAAAACCTAATCGTAAAGATTCAGTTTGATGACCATAATTGTCATCGAATTTTCGAGAAAGACAAAAGTCTGGAGTGTAATCAGAGACAGACTTCAACAGTTTTGGTTACAAAGAACAAATATCACTTCCAGTACAAACACCGACAATCCGAGATGAACAAGCAGCAGATGCATCCTTTGACGTCACTTCAAGAAAGGAAGCGCTTTTGAACTTCATGAAAAATTTCCCATGCACACAGAATGAAAGAAATATAGCTCAAATCTCACAAATCAGGGCAAAGCAATATGCTATGCCGATCTAAGCAAATATATCTTTTGCGCCTAGGCGTGTCCAAAAGATCCAGGCGACGTCAAGTACTCGAAGAAAACAAAAACTGCCCAATGATGTTTACGCAGCTCAAAAGAACTGATTGCTTTACTGCAGAATCTTTTTTTTTTTTTTTGTTTTTTTTTTTTTTGCTTCTGCAAGCTCTGGTGCAAATCTATAGTGATTATTCTTTTTTGACAAGATTTCTATGGAACGATGAAGCAATTCCACCCATCTTCCTAACAAGTAGAATATGCTACCTGAAGAGATAAGGGGAAAACTAACGGTAGACCCCAATGCTCCTGATCCTTAGCACTGTAGGAAGATTTTCACGAAGTCGTTCTGCTTAACTCGAATTTTTCCCGGCGCAATGGTTGACCCTATCCAAGCGTTCTGGTGGGATGAAGGTTTTGCGTCTTGACTGATGATCGATTGGGAGGGAACATGACGAAGAGGTTTCGTGCCTGACATAAGGGGTAAGTTCGCGAAACTTTTCGAAACCTAGAACGCCGAGAACACGAAATCTAACACTTAAGACAAGTTTTTGGAATGGGCAAACGTACTTGATGCATTGCAGTTTTTTTTTAATATTTACTGTGCCACATTGCTGTCAGCGCCTCCTTGTCACGACAGTCAACCAGCCTCCTGGGATAAGTAAGCTAAGAAATTCAAATATACTTTCCGAATCACCTGCATTCCGCTCGTGACGTTGCCGATTCCAGACAATTTGACATATGAATCACATAGCATCACGGCCGCTGACAAGCATTTATGAAATCGGCCATTTCTAGGCGCCTCCAAAAACCAACTGAGTCTGCAATTACGACAAGTCTCGCTATGGGAAACGGCGTATTAGGCGATCAAATGTAGCTTGCGTACGCAATGCATCGGAACGCTTAGTTTGAAAGATGGTAGAGAATATCCGTGAGAACGATAACGGCGAGTCGCCCTTTATATAACCCGTCGCTAGTCGCTGCTTGATCAAATGCGCTGTGACCATCCTGCTTGCTTTAGAAGTAGCTATAATCTCTTAAGACTGCGAACCTTTTTATACTCTCCTCACGAACCTGCTTTTCAATTTGATTTCAAAATTTTCCGAGCGACCCTTACTTCATCATGATTGGTGGTGCTGTGCTCGCTTTATGTTGTACGTTTTTCTCCCTCAAAAGAACGCTCATGCCGGGCGGAGGACAGGGGGGGGGGGGGAGCCGGGTGGAAAGTTCGTGTGGAAAACATCTTTCTCTCTGAACGAATATGAACTGCTCGAAGCACCACAGCCTCAGTAGCTTTCAAGATCGTTCTGCCAGTGGCGCATCGAAGACACCACTCTGCATTTAAAATTATACCTAGATTCGAAACAAGATTATGATCATTAAGAGCCTCCGAGTCTCGAGCTGACTTCTCAGATCAAATAGCAGGACTGAAGATTGAAAAGTGAACTTTTGAGCGCTCTTTTTCAACACATCCAAAGAATGAATAATTCTTGACCAATGGCACGGAAAGAACTATATGCTGTAGAGCAATGCCGAAAATATGAGAAATGAGTTTTCAAAGCAGTCCACCATCACTGAGCTTCATTTACCATCACTAAAGGCCGATGGTCCGAATGTCCAGACCCACCTAACTCATTTACGTATCTGTACCTTCAGGGTCCACGGGAGGAAATAGACGTAAGCTTAGTTGAATCCGAAGATGCAAAAATTAGCGAAGTCGCAACGAAACTAAACAACCGCACGACTCCGAGTCCTTACCCTCCAATGTATAGTCTCACGCAATTATTCACAACATTGTCAACATAATTTAAGCGATGTGTGGATCGCTGTCCCAATACACACTTCCCACAACATCCACAAATGAAGAAAACGTTTCCTGGCCACGATACAACTTGCTCAGGTACCTGAATTTAAGATTGGGAAAAATTCTGAATTTTTTCATTATCGGATTGTTAGAAGTCGTGGAAAGGTACCAAATGCAAGATTACAACAAAAGTGGGTACACTTACTCGTCGCACGATGACATCAACGCCCTCTTCGAGATGATCATGAGTCACAATGTTTGCTCTGAAAACAATACATTCGTCTCCACAACTATATTTCTGGTAAGAGAATGTGATATACTGAAAGTAACGGCAAGGGAAACTTACATTATGTCCACAGTCCCTCCGTGGCATTCCACAACCATGTCATATATGCACAATATAACGACAACCGACACCAGAGTACTCCCGTGGATCGATGGAACGGAGCCTTTCGGACCATCCTAGAATTGACAGCCATCTCCAAACTAATTACTCGTACCGTGTCAAAGCATCGATCATCCTCGACTTCGATTCCAGGTCCTAATGTGGTCGTGCGCAACCCGAGCCAGACGGTGCTCGACGAACCTTGAAATTTTTGAGTGCGGCCGTACTACAAATTACAGGCACTTTAGCGCAAGTCATCATAGCAGCTGACCACAGAACACACTACGTAAGGGCAAAAATGACCCAATTACCACTACCCTCCAAAGCCTGCAAAAAAGGTGTCCGCTCTAATCTAGCGCAGTAATAGGAAATCATAGATCCATTTTCAAACCAACTGAGCTATACCTTCACTGAAGACATTAAAACGCTGCCAAAGAGTGTTACAGAAGGCAGTAGACAAGTGAACCATGAGTTGCGCAGTTCTCAACGAGATCGTGTTCAAGCTTTTGGAGGAAGGTACGCAGTTAGGGTGGTAAAGGTGGAAAGGTCAAACAGAGGGTCTTATCTGTGAAAATCGGTGAGGTCGCGGTCAGGAGTACCGGATACTTTCGACGTTTTTGATGGTTTTGCGTTTTTGCCGGAAATTTTGGGAATAAGTATGAAATGGTCAGAATTAGAACATATTCCTCCAGCCATATTCGCGACTCACCAGCGAAGTCGAAAAGCTCATCATGAAAACCGCTCCGGCAAACGACAACGTTTTCAAAAAGGGCTTGAATCACTGGACCTGGCACTTTTACGAAACAAATACCATTACACTCCTGCAAAATTAACCTATGAACGTGAACAATTCGTGCTACAGAATTCTGAGTACAATACGAAATGAAGTTTAATGCTGTGTCGAACGATTTCTCATACCAACAATCTAAGAAAAGAACTAACTCATCACCCAACTGAAAGAACACGTCCAAAAGTTGACCAGTGATACTTTGTACCTAGTAAAAACATATTTCAGTTGCTCAATAGGATTCAGGGAGCAAACATTTGGAATGCACAGCACTCGAGAGGGGAACAATTGCTTCAACTGTAAAGATATGGAATTAGGGAATAACAAAATGGTCCTGTTGGACGCACCTCGTCAAAAGCTTTCCCGCTGGTCAAAATGATCCTTTCGCTGCCGCTAGCCCTGCATTTCAGTTCATGCCTATTCTCGGGAATTAGCACATTTACACCGCATCGTCTGTAAAGATAAGAATGTCGAAGGCAACAAATCTCTGAAAAGTCTGAGACAAGCTTACCTCATGTGTTTACCAAGCCCAAACAGCATAGAATCTACGATACACTGCAATTCGGTTGCTTGTCGCGTGCCGTCAACACATCTTCCTAATTCTCAGAAAGACCAACCATTCAAAGACCTAACCAATTAGAATAATTAAGAGGCTGACCACTTCAAGAATGATCAATCGTACATCGTTACCTCGCAAAATTTCTGACCAAGACATGTCATCAATCTTCATTCGCTCTTTCTTGACTTTGTTCTTTCCTTCTTTTTTGCAGTCACGCTGGACCTTTGAACTACTGCATAAAAATCGATGCCCAATGCGGCTCATGAAATATCGTTTGAGACCAGGGTCAAGCGTGCGTTGAGGAATCCTCGACACGTCGCAGGGGGGGGGGTCGTATTGGCCCGCTGGGTGGAAGAGATCGAGCCATTTTGATGCAGTGGGATCATCACCGTCGGAAGACAAATATCAAGGATGAGTCGATGCCAGGCCAGAGGATTTCCAATGAAAATGATATTTCACCCACACAAAATTTTCGTGATTCTGAGGCGTCCGGTAATTCTTAGTTACTTCAGTGTTTTATCACCACACAAGTTAAAGAATCTGAATTTCGCACGCTTTCCAAGAGATATTTCATCTTTCAAGTAAGACCCCGAATCTGAAGGGATGTGAGGTACACGGCGCATCCGAGAAAGGGTCTAGTTGTTGCGCGCGCTTCAACTACGGCTCCTTGGACAAACAACCTCAATTCAGGAACAATCGAGAGAATTCTGAAAGTGTCCGTGCGCATTTACAGGGAGGTGTACACCATTCAACATTGCGTTAACGGACTCTTCAGGGTTAAATTTATAAACATGTAACCTTTAAAGTTGAGAAACGCTAATCAATCACTTTTCTTAGAAAGAGAAAAGCAGTGATTCCAAATCTGCTCTTACTTTAGTACATAATCGCCCTTAAAAGGATATACAGCCGTTGAAATAGTGCCAATGTAGCGAAAAAGTACCTTTCGGCGGTACTCGTGCGAAAATCCTCAACGTAGCCGTTTTTTTAATACTGGACGTTTGGAGCAGTTCTAGTGAGCGTTTGATAGAGCAAATCTTCTAGTTTATGATGGCGTATTTACTTTTCGGATTGGATGAGTTTGAACGGAGTTATGGCTTTAGGAAGTAAAAAAACTCGCACTCATCACAAATTTTCCTCGTTAATTTTGCAAAAATCCTCAACGTGGCCATTTTTTGAATACTGGACGTATAGAGCTGCTTTAGCAACCGTTTGGTAGAGAAAATCTTCTAGTTTTGTCTGCCATATTAACTTTTCGAATTTGACGAAAATGAAGCAAGTTGTTGCTTCGGAAAGTGTAAAAACTCGTGCTCATCTCGAATTTTCCTCGTTAATTGACCTAAATTTGTTATTTCTTATAACTTTTTGTAATTTCAATACTGATTAGAAAAAGCTCTTCACAAAACTTCCAAATCTGCTTTCAGATTGAAAATTCGTCATATTTGAAGAAAGTTATAATCATTTGAATATTTGTTCAAATTTCAATAGTAAATAAGCTGCTCCACGGTCAACGCCAAAGTCCAGTCAACACACAGCTGGCGAAGGCGGTTAAAAAGCTTCTTTCAACTGAAGGGCTACGTGCAAATTGAGAACCACAATCTGTGTAGTACTAGAATTTGGTAAGTCTTGTGGAGGAAATAAATAAAGAAAGATATTTTGTAATAGTATGCCATTTTTAGTGGCTAGTTTGTCGTTTTCTGGTCTGTTTCTCGTTTGCTCGTTTGGTAGGACTCATCAATAATGATTATTCTTTGACTTTTTCACTTTTGTACTTCTTAAACGAATTTTTTTGTGGGCGGTGGGGTAGCAGGGCTTTTTTATGAGCAGTTTTGGGGGAGAATTAAACAAGCTTTTCAACCTTTTCATAGTTCGGCTTTTGAAGAGGGTTGTTTCATGGACTTCGGCCTCCGGCGGAGGGTGGTGGGGGGGGGGTCGTATTTCCAAATTTTCCTCAACGCCTCGCTTGACCCTGGTGGAGAACGATCAAGTGTGTTAATTTTTAGCTATATTATATGAGCATTTTGTGACACATTTGCCAAGCAGGTTTCTCAAAGGTCCTGCTTAGGCCTTATTTTCAGGCCGGTCAAGCACATTATGTTGATGAAGCTATATTGCTAAACGTTTATACAAGAAAAAAATCAATCTGATTTCTGAATTGATCAACGACAATTTTCACATGTTTGGATGCTTTCTATGCCTACCCATCCTCAATATTCTATACATTTCTCCGCAATAGCATAAGAGAACGTCTCACTGCACGAAAGGTCGTTCGCAGCTCCTTGGTGAATTACGCACCCACTCAACACAGGTCACCTGGCCCCATTGTGCGCCTCAACGTGACCGTGTCTCCCTTCTCATCCCGACAAATGTGGCTAGATAGGACACCCATCCCTCGCCAAAGTCCCATATTGTGATGATACTACCGCACAAGCCACAAGAAAGTAGGACAAAATCTTGGTCTACCAACAATATCCAGTTAAAGCAGCTGATTGATTATACGCCATGGCGACAAGATAAAAAGCAAAATAAGTCCACTGCTCGGAAAACCGTTGATATATACACTTCTTGCGCGAAACCAGTCTCGAATTATATTACCCTCAAAATTTGAACATGCAAGAATAAAATTTACAAGAATCCCATTTCACCGCCATGAACAACATTTGTGGTATTGTTAATAGAGAGATAGGATTTGACTCACTCGGCCGATGCCTTCAGTTTTGAAAACAGTTCCACAACTATGTAAGCATCCATCGCCGCGTAGCGTTTCTGATTCGCCCGCAAAGGGCGAATTGCCCAATTGCTGCACTGAAAGTTTCAACATCCACGAGATACCAAAACATTAGCAGTACCAGCAAATTTTTGCGAACATGTAGCCTTCTGTGGAGCATGCTGTATAAGATCACACAAACACAGGCAAGTTCCACTCGAGCTTTGACACTATAGAATACGCAGCGAAGCCCAAAAGGAATTTTCTAAATTCCTTTCGCAAAAATCTCTCCACCATCCAAATGGAAATCGTGTTCTGTTTCGAATACTGAGAACTATGAATAGTTAATAATTACAGTGAAAAAGTCAATCATGCACATGCACCTGTTCAGACTTGTCTAGCTTTACGCCCAGTAATTTTTCACTCAAATCACTAAGCTTGAAGTGCACCATCTGCACGTTGTCGAGATCACCGCCTAGATCACCTTCGTTGATACAGCAAACCAAATCTATAATAGGAGAACAACTTGGGGCAACTTATAGAGCAGTATTGACGCTGACTGAAGCTTTTGGAAGCTTACAGAGAGCTTACGAG